GGAACTCAAATAGGCACAAAAAAGTGCTAAGTATCTGATTAGCGGAGAAAAGCAGCAGAAAAAGCAGTCCGAAATGTTATAGAGAAAGATAACATAGTGGCTACTAGCTAGTAGCTAGCAGCCGGTGAGGGTCGGCATGGGCCTAAGGGGTGTCCATGGGCCTAATTAGTCAGCTTCTAGCGGAGTTCTTGCCGTTTTTCACATTTTGAAAGTAGCGCAGCCTCAAAAATCGCCTTCCGGATCGTCCGACACATTTGAGAGGTCATAGCCTTATTTTATCGCGGAATGTGCCTTTAAGATATTCGCAGATTGCAACCACATTGGAGAACCACAATGAGGAGCGTGCAACAGTAATTTTAAGTTATACGTTTAGTTGTCAGGCGTGTGTACAGTACCCCCGAGATCGGCTTTTCCAAGTCAACATACCATGGAACGTATTACCATTGATAGCTTCAAAAGTCAGTGGAGATTTCTTGCTTTCGGAGACGCCTAGCGCATAGCTAACCTGGACTAGAGAGCACTGCAGCGCCTGCAAATGCTGGGAGGAAATTGGATTTCAGAGCTTGCCCAAAACAAAATATTGTACAGAAGGGCCAGTCCTGAGAAAACTTCTAGGAGGAAAGCTCAAGTGCTCAAAACACCTTGTTCGAGAGCTCCAATGAACCAAACACCAGCCCATAAACTGTCTTTCATGGGGTACGAAGGAAAAAGTGCTTGGAGTTAATCAACTCTTATGGTTGTCACGCACCTGACCACTGCTAATTCTTCTGACTAATTACTGATCTCTTTTGGAGCACGGTCAGCCTAAATGATTTATGCGAAAGCTTAGAAGTCACACAAGAGAAGATTGAGACTCGTATTGGAGACCTTTATAGGATAAGGGCCAGGGAGCGAATCGCATCCACAAGACCGAGAAGCTATACTTAAAACTGCAGCTGCACTGAGCTGCCACATAGTGTGTTGGCTGCATCCTTGAACTTAACCTGAAGGAGTCTACGTCTCTGGTAAGATATTTTCATCCTGACAAAATTGTTTTCGTGTCTTGTTCCAACACAGAACAAAGATGCAGTTGTATAGAACTGAGAATACTACACGAGTAACCAGTTCCGTGCCATGTTCAAATGCCACGCCTACCCTGGCTCAGGGATAAGGAGTGTAAGTGAGCAAAACTTCTGGAAACGACTTTTGACAGCAGCTTGCTAGATTCCTACTTTCAAAGTAACAAACCAAATGGAATGCAACTGAAAAGTAGGAAAATTTGATTTCTGATCAGCAAGCATGCCATTATCACCTATCGGTTAACTGGTACCATGAGTATTCACGAAGGGAGATTACTTCCTGGTCATTTTGGTTAGCGGGAGGGAAACTTGGACAGAGTGTACTGGAAAGTAGGCAATGGGCGGAGTAACGCAAGTATATTGTGGCTCAACAACATTATTCACGCAGACAATTACTTGCAAAGACAAGATTCAGTTTTCAGCGTCTGAGAATGGATGAATGAAACGGCCGACTAAGTTGACGCAATGAAAGGTTTTCAGGAAAAGTTCCAAGTGAAGAGAGCATGATAGAGAGACCTGAAAGGGAATTCACTTTCACGCGGAACTCGCAGAAGAAGGAAATTACGTCTATCGATGTTCCCAAAACCCCGCGAAATGGAGAAATGGCTCCCAATCAGCAGCGACGGCAGGAACCAACTCGATCGCATCCTTAAACCTAATAACCTGAACCTAATATGTCGAAGCAGCGGACTCATATCACACAAGAAAAAGCGGAAAATAATAAAAGAATATAACAAAATAAACACGAACAGATCAGCAGGGCTCAGCCGAATATCAGCTAATCAAAGCGGCGAGTACCGGGTGAAGACGGGGAGGGATTCTGGCAGACCCACAGCCGCGAGTGGTTTGCAGGTGGTTTGATTGGAGCGCGAAGTTCAAAGTAGGGTTGTCTTTAAAAGGCCATAACGTCCTTAGTAGCGGACCTGTGGGAAAGGAAAGAATGCAATCGTATAGAGAAAGATTTTAGCTTTCCAAAACATACTGACATGTTCATAAAGGTCGCCAAATTCATAGAGAAAATTTGCGTTGGGGAGTTTTTGGGGAGTTTTTTTGGGTAGTTTGCAGCGCGAGTTTTACAGGTTTGAACCAAGATATCCCTTGAACCTCAATTAGTTTGGGAATCTGAAACTACTGTCGAGTTCTAGAAGATTTGCTCTTTCCAAAAACTACTTGAACGTTTTTTGAAGCTTCCGGGAGTCATGAGATAATTGCGTTGGGGATTATTTGGGGAACACTCCGAACTGTTCGAAAGTCCGTTTTCTGTGTACGGGTTCGTGCGAGCGTGTTCGAATAGCCTGAAATACATGTAGAACGTATCCTGTGGTAGAGCAGGAGCAGGATGTTTAGATGATGTTAGGCCAATCATGCTAACTTTGGATGCGCGGAGCATTGAGGTCCGCGCAGAGGTGATGGGATGGTGCAATTTGAGCGTAATGTCTGTGTCTATAGGATTCAGGGAGGTCCATGGCGAACCTGTGCACTTGTTTACAGTGTTTTCCGTTGCGTATGATGGAGCGTGTCCCTGTCGACGCCGCCAGATTCGTGCTCCGCCAATTGCTGATTCCGATAAAGGAGACCAACTGCTGGAAAACGTCTGATACGAACGATATGGTCCTGTCGTTTGTCGAAAAAAACAGGTTGGCTCAGCGCCAAGCGCGATCGCGGACACGCCCCATCATCCGCAGCGAACCAGAGTATGAGTTGTACTGTTTAGTCACTTACGAGATGATGACTTTTTATATTTCCAGTTATTTGGATTAGTTTGATCGAATGAAAGTTTTGTACTATTTTTTTTACATATCCGAGTTCTCTACAAAGCAAGTTTCGCTGTACAGGACTCAGCACACTGACACCTTTGCGCTGCTCGTTACTGGCTACCGCACTCATATAACGCACTCCCCCCCCTCTCATTTCACACTGCCTTGACACCCCCTTCTCCCCGAAGCGAATACTTTATATGAGAAAGTGACAGAGCCGCTATGACAAATACATGATCGTTCATCTCTTATGAATATCTTACAGAAATTGTTGCTGATATCTTTGTGATTTTCCCTAATAAACTCCTTACTTATAAAGGGCACATGCATACAGAGGTCAGACAATTGCAGCTCGATTTATACATTACCATATCGTCTCTCGTAAAACCTGTACCCGAAGCTGGAATTACTGCTCTCTGTATTACTGAAACACTTGGAACTCAAGCATAGTATCCACAAGCGAAACTAATGTGTATACAATGGCAGCAGCGCACAGCACGAACTTCTTCCCTTGATCCCTAACAGGAGTGGTGTTACATCACATCAAAACAGCTGAAGAAAGCATCACTTTTCCTTGAATGAACTGGCAAGGTGGGGCGAGTCTGCGGAGGAGCAGCTGTCAGAATACAATCAGAGTGGCGCAGTTAGAGACGAGAGAATACGCCTTTGAATTGGTGGGAGCATTCTCTCGTATTTACAACCGACATAAACCATGTACAGCAAACAGGGATAGATGCTGTATTCGGATGCTTTCGGGCCAAGCGGTGGTCATCTAGCAATTCCTAGCAGCAGCGTCTTGCGTTCTTCGTCATTTTGCTTTTTCACTGTCTTCGACTATATATGGCACTATGTCGTAGTCTTTCGTGGTAGATGATTCGAATATCGTCACAGTTGGAATCAAGACCGAGCTCCTATTTAAAGACACATGGTACGATCACACATAGTTTGGGTGTGCGTGACTAACAGCCCCCAGCTGTAGCGGTTTCCCCGTTCTAAGATGCGCAGGAATGGAGGAACAGAACCTTGAAACACGCTAATTCCTCCATGCTCGCCCAATGCCTTTTACGGCGCAAACTTCCGTTCATGCTAACAGCTTCGTTTGCGCGCAGGTCGCGTGTGGCTCTCTTGGCAGGTTTGCCAAGTCCTGTATTGCGTTCTGGAATATATTAAAACGCGATTTCCTGATGCGGATAACATTTTAGGTGCTGCAAAATAAGAACCGAAAATGATGACGAGGGCCAGAACTCAAGAGCAACTGTGCTGCTTCTGCACATCCCTCGGAAGCCGCGCATTCCCACAAAACCTGAGAATGAAAACGGCCTCAGTGTCCCACTCCTTAGTTTAAAGTATGTCTATGGCTTTGGAGCCGGATTCGCGCCGGATCACAGAAATTTGAATTTAATTTTTCATTTCTTTTATTTACATCTACATTCGTTGTTCTTCATTTCTAGCTTTTCATCTTCATCACCTTCTATTTGGACTTTGAAGCATGAGCAACACTGGTCTCAGATGTCATTCGCATCAGGAAATTGCATTTTGCTTGTATTAAATAACGAGTGAGACGCTTAGGCCGTTTATTTTCATGTTTTCTGGGAATGCGAGGCCTCCGAAGGATGTTGCAGAAGCAGCACAGTTGCTCTTGAGTTCTGGCCCTGAGGTTCATTGATCTATCGGTTCTTATTTTGCAGCACCTAAAATGTTATCCGCATAAAGGAAATTGCGTTTACTTGTATTCCAAAGCGCAATTACAGGACTTGGCAAAGTGCCAAGAGAGCCGCACGCGACCAGCGCGCAAACGACGGATATTACCATGAACGGGAGCTCGCGCCGCAGAAGGCATTGGGCGGAGCATGGAGGATTTAGCGTGTTTACGACGTCCTGGTATCGCCATTCACTGCGCATGTTAGGAAGGGGAAACCGCTATGCTTCGACAGCTAGGGCTGTTAGTCACACACATACACCCAAACTATGTGTAATCGTACCATGTGTCTTTAAAGGTAACGTACTGACGGGCAGTTATACCAGGCTTCTCCCTTGGAAACTGCGACAATGTTCGATATGCACCTATGCTGACCTTGAAGTTATTCTTAGACCATTTTCGTGAAGTACTACCGGCGCGTAGATTTTAGCAGATTCATTTCTTCTAGTCACAACAGTTGGAAATGAACATTTGAGAGATCAAACTATGACGTTTGCTATGACTGCACTTAATATCCTTTGGTTTGATAATACTTATTCATTCAACTTTACCGACAGTGCGGTCTGCTCATGGGTCGGCTCACGTTCTTCGGCAGAGCCATTGGACATACCTTCAAAGTACATATGGAAAGGTACGACTTTTCTAAGATCCCTCCATTGGTATTGCGGAAAGATAGAGGCAGCCATAGTGGTATCTTTCGTCTCTCTTCAGTCTTTTTGCGCAGTTTGGCCCACGATGATTGGGTTTCTCGGCTAAATGCTAGTAGGCGCTATATGTGGGGGGAAATGGTATATGAACGAATGTGAAACGGTACAAAATCCAATTGAACGGGTCAAATCAAGGAAAACGGTTCAAAATCCAAAATGCCTATAACCGCTACCGAAGGTATGCATATGTGTACCCATATATCCATGCAGCATCACGACCGCTTCATACCAATGCCTTCGCTTCATAATTTGCTTAGCAAATGAATCAATTAAAGCTGGCTGGACAAACAGTCGGCTCCATTTAAGGCGGGCGGGCCAAGGGGAGGCGTTTGGGACGTAAAGTTGTGGCTTGATAGCCATATGGGCGCTTCTTCCCTGGAAAAGGCATTATGCAGCGCCTGCTCAGGGTCACGGAATTCCGTCCTGCCAGGCGTATTGTCCTGCTCGTTTTTGAGGATTTATCGTGTCAACTGCTTTAATACCCAACTCAGGCAGCAGAATGCAAGGGGCCTTCTATTCCAGAAAGGTTAATGCCTTCAATACCCAACTCAGCAGCGTTCAAGCACTTCTATTCCAGAAAGGTTAGAGTTTCGCTTTTGGCATAGACTGCGCATCATAACCTGCATTTACAAACAGCGGTGAAAGAGGGTGTGGGGGAAAGGCCTAGGGGGCTCAGTGGGTGAAGTAAGCGTCTAAAAGGTATTTTAGCTTTGCCTGAAAAAAGGGATGAAAAGAAAAGCCAACTCCAAATATAATCACACAGGCAGGGGGAGGGGGTGTCAACTTCGGGGGTATTACTCAGAGCAAAGCACAACACCTCTTCTAACGCCCCTTCTTCTATCCAGTAGAGGTTCTTTGTCTCCACCCTTCTTTGGTGTTGCAGGAATGTGGCTGTAGAGAACGCCGCCATTAGCTACCGATACTTAAGGCTAGAACACTCATAAATGTGCATGATGCATCAAGCAGCAACTGCTAGACTATATGCCCTGCCCTTTTAAAAGTTGAAAAACAGCAAGCAGAAAGCACGGCGCTCATGTTTTAGCCCATTGGCGCCCGATAGGCCCATGCCGGCCTCCAGTGACCGTGTCGTTGTGACATTGCCACTGCGCTCTCTCGCCCGTCATTTTCTGGCCTCTCTCGTCTCTTATCAGTGTCTCGCCGCCTTTTGCCATCCACAATCGATCTTGACCACCTTACGCTCGTCCGGTGATCATGATCAATTGAAATAAAGAGGGTCTTATTGCGGGCGCTTTTTCGTGGTTCCTTCTCTTACGGTAACGCAACAATCACGTTGGCAATTCACATTTTTTGAACTCCCTAATCATTGCTTATTGGTGGCGGGATTGCCTTTTAATCCAGTTTGAATGGATCGAATGACGGCGATTGCTGGCTTGTCCGTGCAGGTAGCCAAGAGAACCGAAAAACTGATTGGTATGGCTTTACGCATATTATGTGTGGACAGGTTACAGAAGCTAAATACCTGGAATTTGAGCGTTTGCTGCTCTTGGCTTCAAAGCGAACAAGAAAGGTGATTATCACAAAAAGCCAGAAAATGAAAAACAACGAATATGTGTGTAACAAATGAACTAAAAATGTAGAAAAAAAATGAGATCTCAAACTAATTCAAAATCGCGTGTAAATTTCTGCGATCCGGCGCAAATTCGGCCCCAAAGCCATGGAAGTACTTCAAACTAACGAGTGGGACGCTTGCGCCGTTTTTTATTTTCATGTTTCGTGAGGAATGCGCGGCCTCCGAAGGCGCATATGCCAGAAGCAGCACAGTTGCTCTTGAGTTCTGGCCCTCGTCATCATCTTCTGGCTCTTATTTTGCAGCACCTCAAATGTTATCCGCATCAGGAAATTGCGTTTTACTTGTATTCCAAAGCGCAATTACAGGACTTGGCAAAGTGCCAAGAGAGCCGCACGCGACACGCGCGTTTACGACGGATGTTAGCATGAACGGGAATCTGCGCCGCCAGAAGGTAAGGTGGCGGAGCATGGAGGCGATTAACGTTTTCAGCGGTCCTGTATCTCATTGCTGCGCATGCTAAGAAGGGGGAACCGCTATGCTTCGACGCTAGGGCTGTTAGTCATACACACCACACTACAGAGGGGGCCCTCGCGGCCCCAAAAAAGTCATTTCCGTCATTGTTTTTCGAGGCTGTTGTAAGTTCACTTTATTAATTCCTGATCGGACATTTTTACTACATCTTAAAGGCATTAGCAAATACTATCACTTTCGCCACAGTCTTCTGGACGAGCGCCATCGAGTGATTCTCGGCACGCGATCGCAGATGAGAATCAAGTGCAGAATGCTCGATTTCCTCTGCCACCTGTAGGACCACCCTATTAAACTCCGCCCGCTTAACGGGCTTATAGAGGAGATTCAGGAAGGTGACCTACTTGCGATGTTTCACCTTCTTTCATGGCTATTCAGCCTCTTTCATTCCCAAGGTAGGCGAGGTTTCTCCGATGCCGCCTTCGATCCATGTTGGGTGGCACCCAATGCTGTAGCAGTACAAAGTTTCCAAAGAATGTACGGAGCGACGACATGTGAGGAGGATATTCTTCACGAGTTGCTCGATGTAACCGCCAGCGCTCACCTTCAGTCCGGGGCCCACGAAGAAAATATTGGTCTTTCCATTCCAGGTACGTCCGGTCCATACCATCAACCGCGCCTTGGCGACTGTGGTGAAGATGATGTCCTAGACCGTGGCGACGTTGTCGGAGCTGCTCGATGTTGGAGGTCATCCAGATCGAGAGTACTGTCTCCAGTAGCTACCTATGGGTGGCTCCATACAGTTTCGCTACGCTTCTTTGGAGCGTGAATGGAATTCAAAGGGTCTTCTCAGTGAGGCTTGCCACTGGAGATTACCTCATATTTTGGCTGGTACCATGAAGGTTATGGGCGAGAACCACTCCCTGCCTTACAGGGAACGTCTTGCGGTAACTTTCGCCCTGCTACTCGTGATACCACGTCCTACTGTCTGGGCATTCGATCAAACTTTGCTGATATGTGACTCGGTCGAAGTGACTTTTTTTGGCCCCCCTTGTATGTGTGATCGTATCATGTGTCTTCAAGAGCAAGGAACTTCTGTTCGGAGCATCACTCTTATAGTTCATATCTCACGCCACAAAAGCTGTGCTTCAGCAGTCATCACAGGCGCAAAGATCACCAGTCAAGTGGTTTGAGAATTTCCCCAACACCTCGAGTTGCAGATTTGGTGGATAACACGATTAGACCGACCATCTCGAAAGCCATGGAGACGGAAATGTCTAGGCAAGCGTTTTACGATGACGTACTGAGGAAAGGGAATTGGGAGAAGGGTGATTTTTAAACTTGCAAATAGATTACCGTATTCTACAAGTGGAATTTTCTCGGAAACATGTGTTCCTGCAATGAAAGGCCTCGACAGAATTCAGGCTGGACAAAAACTAAATATTTCGCTGATTGCCGCTTTCGAGTCCAATGAACAAATTGAAGTGACCATCACGTCAACAGGGAAGTACGGGTACGTTTCCCTCCCTAGATTACGTTACATGTATCTTCCCAGCCTCATGCACATCACCCCTTCCTCCTTTTCTAGGCATACGTATCGGTTAGTTAAGCACTTAATAGGTACATCATCAAGTTTGCTAACTTTTCCTGTGGAACTTGCCAACTCCCACGATCCCGGTCCGACAGAAAAGCTCCTCTTGTTCCTAGACCCGAAGCTGAAAGAGTTTCCTTTGTTTGTAGCCGCACAGTTAGCAGCATGGGTCCGCGAAGGGTTAGGAAACAGGTAAAGTTGGTCTCCATGTAGCAGTCACGAATCGGTGCAGAGGCATTCGCATGCAAATTCACCGATCTCCTCGATTGATGAATTAAATGAGGTGGGTGGTTCTCGCTAAATGGGCTGATGTATGTACGCACCTCCCCCCTCTCCCTCCAGTGGTATGGAAAGGATTTAAAAGAGACAAGCAGTCGGCAAAATCTTCGAGAGAACTCGGTAAAAAAGCGTATTCAAACTGACCACACCCTACAAATCAAGATTTGTTGCAAACTTGGGAGAATCCACTGAATTGTGAATGAGTTACTCCTTTCAGTGACACCGTTCATTGCCGCCTACTTCAACGAAGGCTAAGTGTGAACTTCGTCCAGGAATGAAGAGCGTTGTTTTCCCCGAGTTCACCGTTCAGTGTCCACGGCGAGATGGCGCAAAGTACATGTCGCTCTCCGATACATTCTCTGGAGAGTTCGAGTTCCCTGTGCCTATCACTGATCGTACTCGAAACGGTTTGTTCTCCTTCAAGGCATCATGGAATCGGAAAAATCCTTAGGGCTCTCTAATGGCTATTGTAGTAGCTCTCCTGTGCTTCAGGAAGCCCCAACACACTTCTTCTCGGTTTGCAAAAGAAAACACACCTATCTCCACTATATGGTACGGAGCCGAAATGGTTGTTATTGGCAGAATTTTTCGAACATTACAAGTTGCAGGTGAGAAAACATAACTAGCTAGAGTTGCGCAGTCATAAGCAAGCTGTACAGCGGTGTTATGCTCACCATGAGCAACTTTTTGGAAATGTTTTTGTTTTCACTGTTCTCTAGTTGGTAATCAGAAACAATGCCTAGATGATCTGATTCAGTGACATCTTGTTTTATAACGTGTATAAGGGGAAACCTATGCTAAGGCGGTTTGAGGCAGGGCGCCGAGGTGGGGCTATAGACAAGCGGTGCAATTTGAACAAGTGTAACAGGCAAACATACCCTGTTCATACTGGTGATATCTGCTCTGACCAATAAAGGTCAAGCAGGTCAGCCTGACATTTAGCACATGATTATGCACACCACTGTACCTCACCTTACTGTTTTTCTTCTGACCGGACGCGGGGAATGGCGACCGAGCGTGGTGGTACATGTTAGCGCGAACTCACAGCCCCTTAATTTTCGTGTTCAGGGGGTCAAATAACCCCTAGGGACGCCACCTTAGCAAAATCTGAGCTTCTGACTCAACTTCGAAAAAAACGGGGTATGGATAGTCATGGCTGACTGATAGCCAACAGCGATACTATGACTAGCATACTGGTGATGACTGGTCTTCGAACGGAAATAACTCTTCAGTCATGTCTTTTCGCAAACAAGGACCTGGCTACCATAACTTGAAACTAGACTACTTCCTTGAAACCAATAAAGATATAACTAAAAGATATATAAATAAAAGATAAAAATAAAGTTGAATTTTAATGTTTCAGTATATGTATATTATATAACAGGTTTGAACATCAAAGTTATAATCATAAAAGTAAACTGATTAAATAACATGAAAATCACATTACTATTTTGTCCGTCTGGCATCATTTTCTTGACTATCGGGGATGCGGAATCCCATTCCAAATACCAGTCTCGATGTGGGTTGAGATCCAATCTTTGCTGCTGTTTTACCCTTGGAAATAGCCCACATTTTCTCCAATTGAGCGTCGAAATATCAGATCCAGCTAGAAATCTTGTCCCTAGAGGTAATTAACCGCCTTGAATGAATTGATGAGTATTTCATTACAAAAACCCTTGTGACACGTGTTACGAGGGGTACAAGCAGAAGCACTCTTTCAGGCCGCAATGGGTCTACACTTTCGAAAAAAACTGATTGCAGGTTCCCTTATAGGGTAGTGCAGGCGAGCAGAGATGTTAGAAATTGCGTCGGCGACGAATGCAAAAAATGTCTGGCCCGAACCGATCCCACGACATACTCAGCTTAAGAAAGCGCTCCCTGCCTTTCTGCGCATCCAATCAACACGTTTCAGAGGCTTCACTCATTGATGAATAAAGACGACTTTCCCTTTTCCTCGTGCGATAGTATGTTAAAGACCACGCGGGATAAGCCTCCTAATAACTCCTGTTCAGAGAGATCGCCTCCGCAACTTCTGGAAGGTAGATTTGAGTTCACTGTCTCAAGACGCGTACAACGGTGTGCAGCTCATTGGAAATAGCCGGGATCTGTTGACCTTTCCTGGTGAACTCACCTTTGCATTGTAAACTCGAAATTCTTGACATGTGGGATCTTGATCTTCACCAGAGGAAAGCACTAGGGAGGAAGACACATTGTTCGAAAACGCCTCCATCAAAGCCTTTGCCGATCGGATTCACAGCCGTTGATCCGTGGCGATTCCTGTTGAAGGGAAGGAAAAGGAGGAGGGGGGAGTACGAAAGTTGCTCAACCACAGTCACAATCGCAATGTTGAGCCACTTGCGCTCAGGTGAAACTATCTGAGCAACCTTACTTTGTTTAGCGCCATCCAGTAACTTTCTGGCGCTAAACAGATGCATGGTTGTTTACTGTGGCAAAACGCTAACGCGTCTCCGCCTACGGCGCTAATTTCAAGAATAATCCCGAAATGTGCCTTCATTGTTCAGGGAGCTTCACACTTTTTCGTCTATGTGATAAACGTGGATGAGTACAGTAACATCCTGTTGCATGATTATGTTCGAACTGGTGAAGTAGAGCTTATTTACTTGCACGACAGATCCACAAGGACTGATAATTGGTGGCATATTGTTCAGATTCAGGTGAGATTCATCGTGCAGTATCAAAGACCATTAACGCCCGTATTTTTTGATGACACTTCAGTCAATGGATGATATTCCGTTTGCATGTTGTGACTGGAAGGAAATATCAGCAGTGGTGAGGGCCTTTGAATACAACGAGGTCCAAAACGAGTATTCGTTCTTCAAAAATATGAGCGTCGAGGTGCGCACTATGTGGGCGCAGAAGAAAATATATGTTTCCGATTTAAGTACTGATTATGTACCCGTTATAAGATGCGATTGGTTTTTTTCAATTTCTTGAAGTTCACGGGAGGGTTGCTATGTATTTTCCTCACCTGAAAACTATTATATTCCGAGATTTTTTTTCTAATGGATTGGTAGTTGATTTTAATTATCTATTCTGCCAAACAGTTCATGTTCATAGTATTTCCCTCTCTTTCGTGTACCAGAAGATCATGGCTGGATCTTTGCTATCTTGATACGGCACAGGTTCCTGAGAGAGAAAAAATTTGGACGATTTTTTAGAAAGTGCTCAGCGAAAGCCTTTGTAGCTCTGTACGAATGAACAGTGTCCCATTGTTCTTGTTTGTTCGATCTTGTTGAAGTCCGACTTGCTGCTTCATGTCGGGTTATAGCCGAACTTCTGCAGTACATTATGGAGCAGGTGCCTCTAATAGGAGCTCTGCAAATAGAATGCGGTTAAGAGATCCATGGTCCGAGTGTTTATAGAGATGACCGTGTCTTTTAATGGATTATGGCTCGCAAAGCACATGGCTGAAGGGAAAGGTCCAAACGATACCGCCCATTATTAGGGCATGACTGTTATCACCAAGCTGTGAAACAACTGCCTTACGCTGTGTCTGTTGAAAGGCAGCACTAGCTGAAGAAGTAGCCTTTGAAAGTAGCACTAGCTGAATAAGTCTCCACGGTGTGGGCACTTGGTGCCCAGTCACCGTGGATACCTATTCTCTGATAGATGAGTTGTGGTGCATTCGGATGGCCCACTGGGGCTTAGGAGCAGGCATTTGGGCACGTCCGTGGCAAATTATCTCTTCCCTCATCCGGAGTGGGACTAAGCCCACTGAACATGACGTTGATGGACCCCGCATTCAATGCCGACACGTACGACTAGCGACCTTTGATTGAACTATAAAACAAAGACTGTTCTGTCTGAGCGCATGTACATGACTTTCTCAAGTTGATCAGCGCTGAAAATGAGAGCTGGGTGCATTAGAACCAACATTCCTTCTTGCTGCTGCGCGGCTTAGGCTCACCTAATCAATGCCCGATATCCTCATCTGAGAAGTATGCAGGTTGTCGTTGACGCGTCCTGATTGAGGAATTACCTGTTGATGAAGCACTTCAGACGTTAGCCCGAGCCAGAAGACGCAATAAGTGTAACGCAGTAAGTAACGATCCAGTGTTTTCCTTCATGGGGTGGTGTGTAGCCTCAAATTCCAAAAAGGACTCGTCAGATTCTAGCAGAACCAAGCTGGAGTGAACCACCGAGATCTGCTTCTGTTTGCTCCTCCATAAAAGCACCACTTGCTCATTTGCCCTGGCCACTTTCTCATGGGAGATAAAATTGAATAAGTTCAGTCACCTCAAAAGCAACTCCAGATTCTTCAGCCGTCTGCATTCAGTCATCGGCTAGCGGACTGCTATACCTAAGTGGTTCTGCTGGTGATAATGTTATTGACTGGATGTTGATTAAAAGAGGGTAGACTTATTATAGCGAACTGTAGAATGTTTTCAGGATTGCCTGATCCGCTCTCGTGGTTACTCAAGCTGGGTAGCATTCGTTGATCTGGATGAAAGGTTATTACCCACCGAATATACAGGAACGCTAAGTGACTACCTCAAGTAAGTTCCCTGAAGCATCATTTCTTCCGTTTCCTTACATGCCTCTGATTAATAAAAGTGCATTTCACATAGAGCCGAATTAGTCTTGCAGCATATTTCGAGAAACTGAAGTCCGGTGGTAGTTGAGCTCTTCGAAAAAGGAGGTTCTCGGAAGACAGTTCAAAGAGCTAAACGAAAAAAAACCTTGCGGAAGCCAATCGATGTTACGGATGTCTTTATACTTTTGAAACGTATTGTACATGCCGCACACACTATGACCCATGCAGAGTTGCCACCAGAGTGTGAGTGTACTTGGCAGCTTTCTGATCGAGCTAGCAGTGAACTATTGAATAGATTCCAGTCGATTGCCAGCTGCTGTCCAATGTTTTCACGTGGCCTACTTCACTGGTGTTTCTGCGTCTACAACGCTCTCAAAAATAATAAGAGAACGCGTTAGATATGCTCTAATTAATATCATTTATTCGCAGGAATTTGTCAAATCCCAAAATTGGAGCCCTTCAATTCCGACAGCGATGGATCCTCAGGAATGACACCTTACCAGATAAATACGTGGACAGAGAACAGGTAACCTTTAAAAAAATTTGATAACCGGTACTACCGCTATTTGTAACTTTGAGTGGGTGATATAACGGAAAACGGCAAAAGACACTACGCATTATATATAGTGCATGGGCCAAACGAGTCGATTCTCGCCTCCGTCGCAAGGCTGGCCGCGCTTCCTACCCTCGGGCAAACTATTCTGTACCAGGAAAATTCGGAAAAGAAAACATTCGTTGTTCTTACACATCGACCCTCGTAATCAAGCGCATCAATGGTGCCAATTCTGACTAAAAGTGGAGTGCACAGTGAGGCAAAAAGTGACGCGATTCACCTTAAGTTCTTTGTTCTACATGTTTAGATGGAATTTCTCAGATCAATTGGCGCGCCTTATTTTCTCAAGAAGAATATTTTCTAATGAATGGCGTCGACTGGATTCCACGAGAGCTTTGATCATGTTAATCCAAGAGTTCCACTAAGCAAGTGACTAATTAAGGTGAGCGGAATGGATGCCGACGAAGAGATATCACAACACGTCACATGTCGGTCCAGCAGGTCATACGACCAAGTGTATCGTTGATCCCAGAAAGGTATA